ATGAAATTTTCCACTTGTGGTATTATGTCAGTGCTCAAAATACTTAGGACTTTGGAGAATTTCACCTTTCAGATCTTCCAGTTAAGGACGCTCAATTTGTAATAATAGTTACTTCTACTGGCTGCCTCCTATGTGCTAAGCATACAGTAAGGCAACACAAGAGTATGCACAAATGGGTATGGATCCTATTCTCACAGTTTGGGAACAACCGAAGTTACATACAAAATCCCACACATAGATGTGTGATTATATCTGAGACATGCATTCCAAGAGAAAAGAGCAGAGTGAAGTGTGATAGCCTGGCTGTCAAGAAAAATTCTCAAGAGGCAGTAGTATCTGATGAAGACCTGAAGGATCACAAGGAATAATATGGGTAGGTGCACCATACTTATTCACCTGGAGTGCAAAGAATGAAAGTAAAAGAAATAACAACTACTTCCGAATGAATACTAAGTACCTGGCTTGGGTTAAATACTACTTATATTCAGTTCTTGAGTTCTTTCAGCAACTTGATCAGTTAAAAATTTACTATCATCATTTTACAGTCAGTAAACTAAGGCAGAGTTTCAGAAATATGTCCAAGATTAGGGTTACTCAGTAAGGGGCAGAACCAGGTCTATGAAGCTGCAAGCCTGCATGTTTAACCCTAGATGATACTGCTCCAATGGCGGCCACTGGGCCCTACTGAAGCAGAATGTATCAGAATGAGATGGGCTTCACTCAGTTCACAAGGAAGAGAACAAATGTTTTAAAACATTATATTACCTGAAGGGATATGTATGGTGGAGACACTGTCGTATGGTACCTGTTCTAAATCCACCACCTTAGACTTCTTGGCCACACCACCACATGACAAGGTACGTGTTCTAACAACTGCACAACAACAGCACATCCAACACTTACAGCCCTAATGATAGCCTAATCCTGAGCAATTCTGTTTTCTATCGTACCACACACTTGCACCGTCCAACCATAGTTTAGTAATGCAGGAGTGCAAATTCAATCCAAAACAGAGAATTTACAGGCCACCAAGTGGCCTTTGAGCTAACCAAACTTGAAAAGCTCCACTTAAGCAAACAGGTATATGTTTAATAATAATAAAATTCTCAAAAATATGAACTGTGAAAGAAGCTCAAAGTTTTGCAGGAGAGAGATGGGAGTTATTCTAAAAATGCAGAGGTGGTTAAAATTAGAAAAATCTTGGTGCTGGGGATTTAGCTCAGTGGCAAAAGCGCCTGCCTGGCAAGCGCAAGGTTATGAGTTCGGTTCCCAGTACCGGAGAAAAACCAAAAAAAAAAAAAAAAAGAAAAAGAAAAATCTAGTAATGCAATTAACCATGTTTTAACCTTATTACAGAACAAAGAATTAGATTCTTACAACAGATGTTTTTTAAAAGGCACTTGATAAAATTCAAACACCCAAATCTACACAGGTGATAAAACTACATAGAACTTCAGAGACAGAGAGAGAGAAATCTGGATGTGAGTGCAATTAGTGCATCGCATCATGATCAATATCCTGACTGAATCTTACACATAATTTTTCAGAATGTTACCACTGCCAAAATCAGGCAATATACACAGGGAGATCTCTGTACAGTATCTTAAAACTGCATGTAAGTCTTCAATGATTCCAATTAAGCAGTCAATTTTAACAGAGTGAGAAGGCCAGGGATGGAGAGAAAAGGAGATGAATTTCACAGAAGCAAAATTGCATCAATCCATCAAAATTCAGTAACCAAATTATAGAATATTAATTCTATTAAAAAAAACATTGCCACTCCATCCTTCCAATACTTTAGCCCATAAACATTTTTAAATTTAAAATTTTTGCAATTTTTAAATTTAACCTTCCCAGAGATGCCAGCAACGTACTAATATGAATGTGATACTAATATATATAAAATAGAATAAAAGCTACTGTACAATTTACGATGCTTAAAGCAAAAGCCTATGTCCAAGGCTTTTTGTTACTCTACATTATAGAATCCTTAGTACTTGTACTATCTTTGTTTCACTTATCCTAATAAAAATTGTGATTCTGAAAAAAAATTCAACAACCAAAAATAAAAGAGAATTTCTACAATCTACTAAACTCTCTCAAAAACCCCCCAGGTAACATCATGCTTAAGCAGTAGTACAAACAATATGAAATCTGTTACATGTTCATTTTAAAGTTAAGATAAACACTATCACTGCTTAAATTCAGTACCATATTGGGATCCTTGCCAGTGCCATTAAGTTTTTTAATTTAATTTTTTATGCTTAATTTTAATTGAATACTTTTCACAATTATATTTAATTGCATACATATTTAATTAAGCAGTTAAAAGTAAAAGAATTAGAAAGAAACAAAACAGTCACTATGTATATGTAATATGACTGTTTAGAAAATGCAGTGTATATTTTAGAACTGATAAGAGTCCACCAAAGTTACTGCTCATGAGTGAGAAAGAGGGAAGAAATGGAAGGGCTCATGATGGGCACTGCAAACTGAAATCCAAAGCAAGCACACAGAACAACTCATGAATATTAAAAAGACCAGAAAAAGAACTGAGCCCCAAATAAAGCCCATAGACTTTTGTGAAGCATCTCCCACTAAACTAAATCAAGGTCTAGCATCCATGTGGGCCTCGATTCCTGACTCTTTAACTCCCATTTCTCTCTCCCAGAACTCACCATGACTACCTGTCCAAACTAACCTGATGAGATCTGCGAGTGGTACTCAAAAGAGCTCAACTAACCACTTATAAATTCAAAAAATAGACACATCTCTCAAAACTGGAATAAGTTGAGCCCAAACTTCTATTTCAAGGGATGGATGGATGGATGGATGGATGGATGGATGGATGGATGGATGGATGGATTGGTTGATAAAGTTCAGTTTTAATAGTCCTACCAACAGGAAGAAGCAGTGCTATGATCCACAGCTGCAAATAATCTCTGAACTGTAGTGTTTGGTTGGAATGTATTAGGGGTCTTGATAGTAGGTATGCCTACACAGAGAGGTTTTTTTGTTTAGATCAACACTAAAATAAGATTTAATATTGTGAACACGGAGTAACTGCAGACTGAGAAGAATGACCTGGCAGTGTGTTGGGATGCCAGCTTTTGCCCAATGAATCTCATTATGTTGGACAATGCATGCTGAAATAACTGAACTTCAACAACCTCAAGGAGAAAACCAGACAAAATGACAGCATTACAGAGTTTTTTTAATCATAAATTTAGTGTGAACCTAACAGAGTAAGGTAATATACAGAGCCATATGTAAAACTGATATTTTCAACATTGGCACAGTCCATCTTTGGTAGCATTAGTGAAGGAAGCTCTCTGCTTTCTGTGCTTTTCATGCTCCTGTGGCAAAGGGTGTAGATGGTGGCGACATTATCACAGGTTTCCTTAAATCTGGGCTTCACTAAAGAAATCCTTCTTTCGTAATTCAAAACGCACTGTCCAATACACTAGCAACAAATCACATGTAATTACTTAGTATTTGGACAGGGGCTTAATTTGCTGTGAATGTCAAATACAACAATACAGTCTGAATTTCAGAGACTTTATAAAATAAAAGGAATAGCAAGTCTAATAATTTTTATATTGATTAAATGTTAAAATGATATTCACTTTAAATATAGTATTAAAATCAATTTCACCTGTTTTTTTTTCCCTTTTTTAACATGTGTACTATAAAATTTTAAATTATACATGTGGTTCACGTTTGTGGCTCACTTACTGGACAACACTACTTAGAAAGACAAAAGGTATTTTAAATGGAGCATGTATACTATATATATGAAGCATTTAAAATATTAATGATTATGTTTATAAGACCCTTTGTATGTTTTTGATAGAAAATTCCTGCAAAGATAAGTATAATCTTATAATAGCTGTACAACAGAGGGTCATTTATCAAGTTCTAACTTTTTGACAGGAATAATACAAAATACCATCAAATAAATGATCCATAATCTTCCCAAAAGATAGGAGTCATTTAAATCAGGCAGACTGAGTAAGGTGTGCAAAAATCACACAGATAAAAGGTGCTATATACAGGCTCTGAATGTAGGTCTCTGTGAGGCTGACCCAGCACACTTCAAAGACTTTAAGAGTGGTCCTGTTTGGAAACGACCATCTCTTGTAAGGTTGGGTCACTCAGACTTGGGCAGGGGCAATTCACGCCATTTCCCTATCATTAATACGTTTGTTTGTTTGTTTTTGGAGGACAGTATAGAGTGAACAGCTTTCAAACCCAGCACACCTCCTCAGTAAGCCCAAGTGGGTCCCTGCCTTGAGAGAAAGAATTTGCCATCATAGGGTGCCAGAGGCAGCCCAAACAAAGGCAGCCAGGAAAGCACAGTCATCTGCCTTCAGTGCCGTCTTTTAGATGAGTTCCCCTGTTTAATCCTTGGCCCAAGAGAAGCTTCTGACTCCAGCCCACTCAGAAAATCATTCTGGCAACAGCACTACAGGAGTGGAAAGTCCTGAGCCACTGACATAGGAAGCTGCCTACAGCGGAAGGGGGAACAAGACAGACAAGCATGCTGGCCATGAAGCGAGGACAAGTTGCCAAGAGAAAGAGCCTTCTAAAACTCAAAATATCTTCTGCCACCGAGCTTTGGAGAAATGAGGCATGCAAATCTTGGACACTGCTGCAACCACCCCCTCCCCCAGCCCCCTCCTAAATGGACGTCTACAGACACGGATAGAATGTCTACGGACATTCTGCTCAGCGTTACAGTCCCCAGAAAAGGTGATTTTCAGCCCCGCAGGAGTTTAAAAAGCCTAAGTGAAGGGCAGGAATGATGGAGGTGCGATGAGGGAGGGAGGAAGGGAGGCAGGGAAGCTAGCCAGAAAATAACACACAGAAGGCAACAGTGACATTCAGCCCTGAACCCAGAATTTTTGAATGGCTCAGAATGGGACACTTTGTCACCTCTGATTTCATTAGAAGACTGTTTTCAGGATGCTGAAGGGCCAGGTTCATAATCAAGCACTTACGTAATCCTCCTCATTGAGCCCTTGTTTCTCAACAGAACTTTTCACCTCCATGGAAAACTTCTCAAACTCAGGTTTCACGGTCCTCAGTAGAGTGACTGTTTGGAGGGATGAGTACGCTTGCTTAGCTTCAAAGTCATGTTTGTCTCCTCTCTTCCACGAGCCATCTCCTACGGGAGAAATAAAAATATTTATAATTCCAAGCCAGTCACCATAAAGAGGCCATTCTCTCTTTTCGGCTGTGATGTGTCCCTACATGTTACTTCTGGCAGCCCGGGCAAGAGGTATTGTCATACTTTTGCACTTGGATATTATGCGACAATGTCAAGATCATTAAAGGAGATGATTCTTTGGACACACATACCTTTGAGATGAGAGAGAAAAAGAAAAGCCCTGTGGATGTCACTGCCTTGTGATCACCATGTAACTGCAATTTTCAGCCCTCCTCCAGAACTGCAGGACTGCAGGGTTAAGAAGTAAGTCTTTGTTCCTTTCCATTCACACTTATTTTTTTAACATATATGTCCACTGTGGAGGTGAACCAATTTGCTATTAGGCAGAGGTGGGACAGCAGCTTACAGCAATGTCAACAATAGACAGGCACAAGTGCTATAAAGTTGACACGGTTTTTAAAAAAAGTTTGAATAGTTAATATTTTTTGTATCTCTCTCCAGGGTGAAAAGTAGCTTAGGTAAACTTGAGGATTTGTGTCTCTCTGATCCTGGCAACATCATCAGAATTTTTTTTTTTGGATAATTTTCATCAGTGTATTAATGGTAGCAAGTATATTGGGCATGTAGATAGTAATGATAAAAGCTCTATTTTTGAGCACTTTATGTATAAACTCATTTAACTCTCATGAGACCCTGTAGGAGGGGTACTACTGTCCTTTCTACTTTACAGATGAGGAAACTGAGGTGCTGGAACATTGGCCTGCTGTTTCATAGCTCTCTCTTTCACAAGAGTAATGAGTTTTCACATGGAGAAAAATAATTAGTCTGGCATTTATTTCATTTTTTGAGGAAAGTGTGGCCTGCAGGGCCCTCAAAGGCAAAGTGGGTCTTTCTTAACAACAATAAATTGCGGTTTTTCCTATGAATTTCATCACGAGTTCTAGAGGTATCTGAAAATGCAGCAAGGAATGCAACTTGCTGCCCACACACAAAGCACCTGTGTACCTTATGCTTCCCATCCATGGCAGATGCCTGCAGCCCAACAGTTCTGCAGCAAGCATGTCCCTGGAACATGTGGCCAGGTCTGTGGCTCTTGCTCTGCTCTTCCAGAATTTCAAAAGAGACCTAATGCCTCTGGAATTTCTACCACAGCCTGAATCACACAAAGATGTCTACGCGACATGCATGTTATATGCAAGGTTGCAGGACAGCCATGGTGAGCATCATATGTGTCTTAAGCAGTCCCCACCAAATTCAAGAGAGAAATTTAGAGCCACACATGAATAACTGAAGCTATTACAGGGTGGGACCAACAGCTTTCTATGGAGGGGAGACAGACAGAATGCAGAGTATGGAGGAAGAGGCAGTCAGCTCCAGCTAGGCAGAAGGTTTCATGTGAGAAGAAGGCATTTGCCTGGGCCTAAACGTATGAATAGGATTTTGGAAGCAGGAGAGGAGGGTGGAAACACATGCCTGGCAGAGCCCACAGCATAGGCAAAGGTGCAAATGTGTATGACATTCAGCAGACAGCCGGGAGCCTCAGTCTAGAGCATGAGAAAAGTAGAGCCAAAGAATATGTTTGTGGAGACATCTGTATAATCATAATCCTAATAATAGCAACCATTTATTAATTGCCTACTACATGCCAGGGAGCTGCTAAAAGATAAATAAGGCAGAGCTGAGGACAGAATTCATTAAGGACTAGACCCATACTCGCCGAACACAAGATTCAATTTCCAGCCACCATACCAACCCTGACAAAGCCCCCCTCCTTTCCTGTGAATCTTCCAAAACCCCACTGAGGCCCCAGTCTGAGCAGAGCCATGCTTATGCTGAGGGAGCTGGGCAAACCCAGCAGGACGCTCAACCCCAAGGTAGCATTTGCCAAGCAGCCGAATCCAGCCAGCCAGAAAGACCCCAAATTCTAAGGCTGCCCAGAACATTTCATCCCATGAAGGACTCCATTTCCTGTAGAGCTTCAAGAACAGTTACAGGCTCATTTTTCACTGATGCAGGGTCTCAATACTCAACAGAAGTGGTATTTCCTCAGCTAAGACAGTCAGAATTTCTCAGCTCTGGGAAAGAATTCTCTCTGGGGGCATAAGAAAGGAAATACTTATCCCCATAGGGCTTTATGCTGTGTAATTATAAAATACACATTGAACCGGAAACAACAATTATGTGTTACCAAAAGGAGGAGAACATATTTTTCTAAAAAGATAGAAAATCTTGCCAGGTGTGGTGGTACATGCTTGTAATCCCATTACTAGGGAGGCTGAAGAGGATTACTGTGAGTTCCAGGCTAGGTAGCCTGGGCTACATAGTGAGGTTAAGACCAGTCTGAATTACAGAGTAAGATCCTGTCTCAAAAAAAAAAAAAAAAAGTGAAATCTAGTCCAATAAATCCGTCCACAACAATCTACCAGGTAACTATTTTTAGAGTTTGGTTTTCCAGTGAGTGGAAACAGTAGTGCATAATAAATTTAAGCCAAACTAAATAGGTATCTGTTCACAAGCATGACTTCCAGCCCTCACAGTCACTTCTTACTGTGATGTGGCAGGAATGTCTCCCATATCGGTGCTGCTGAACCCTGGGAAAGCAAAGTCGGCTTGGCATAACACCCTGTCGGGGAGACAAATTTAATTCAGTAGACAACTGGGTGCCTCTAGAGATTTATGAGCAGGATGGAAGAGTGACATGATGAGAATCATGGCTTGGGAAATAGCAGTGGATTAGAGTGCAGAGACACTGACTGCTCACAGCCACAGTAATTCAGACATCAGGTTACAAGAGGCCACAGGTAGGAAGTCACACACCACCAAAAAAAAGAAAAAAGAAAGAAAATAAAAGATTATCTGGGTGGTTAGACTTAGCAAGTCTTCTCTTTTTTTTTGCGTTTTTCTGAATGCAATGAATTTTCAGTCATAAATATTTACTACTTTTATAATCAAGAAAAGAGCTAGAGGCTTTGAGAATGAAAGCAGAAGACTGCAGGAGGAATCCCAAGACTGCAGCAGTTAGAGAAGGAGTCACAAGGCGGAGGGGCGGAGCACGTCACAAACGGCTCCAAGGAGGACAAGAAAATGGCAGTCACTTCCAGAGTCAGGTGGAGGAGGAACAGACTAGGCGGACAGGGAAATAGTGGCTTCAGTTAGGGTCACAGTAAATCCAAGGTGACTGCAGGATGCTTAAGTGACACCACCTGGCTGGGGTTGGAGATAGCGGCCTGAATCCAGAAAGAGGAGCGAGGGCTACAGAGAGTGCTGGGTGTCATTTCCACACAGCTCGGTATTAGAGCCCAGGGGCTGCTTGCCCTGGGTAAGAAGGAGACTGCGGGACGAGAGAGAAGCACTGAGCACAGGCGTTTGGGGAAGGCTATTTTTAGTGGGCAGAGGAGACAGAGAGGAGTGAACAGAGAACCCAAAGAATGCCGTGTCATCAAAGCTAGGAGCATAGGGTTTCCAGACAGAGCTGGAAATGCTCGAGAGCCACACTGCTAGCGTAGTAATGACCGGCCATATGCAAATTTAAATTAATTGAAATTAAAAGTTCAGTTCCTCGGTCACACTTGCCACATTTCAAGTGCTCAAGAGCTGGATGTGGCCAGTGGCTACCATACGGGGCAACACAGAACAGAATATAGCCATGATCACAGAAAACTCAAAGAGATGAACATACCTGAAGTCACACAGTGCTTCGAAGGGATGAGGACAGGGTCCCAGGGGAGGCTCGTAGACTTGGCAATGAGAAAGCCAGTGATGACCCTGAGAAAAGCACTCAGGAATATAACACTGATACCCACCACTTCTCTGAAGGTACTTTCTCCCAACCAAGAGATTAAGAGGAAAAACAAGTTTGCTAGAGAGAAAATAAGATAAAGAAGGTAATTCCTTGCAGTTGTTCCAGGATAAGGGCAAGCAAATATCCCTTGCTTTGTTTTGTTTTATTTATTTTGTTTTTAAATATCACGGACAGCCAAGCTTGCACTGAGAATTGGGAGGGGAGAAAATATTTGTGAAAGGGAAAGTAACCTGCTCAGCAGCAAAGCCTTGTGTTCAGCAATACTATGGCCAAGGATGTGGTGCCAGTGAGCGGTAGCCATGGCGCCATAACTGTGCCATCCTGTAGCACCCAAAACTTACCAAGCACCTACCATTCAGTAAGCCTTCAATATATGTGGCTTGCATGAGTAAGTGTGACATCCGTGAATTTGCCCAAGAATTAATACCTGGCATTTACCTGGGCTGGCTACATGACCTTGTGGCTCTTTAAAGCTACTTTTTGTTACATGCCTCATCCCACCCACCCCAAATGACCTTGGTGTTATATGACCATGGGGTAGGCTGGCCAGTTATACCATCAGTAATAATGGCACCACCTACTGAGTGATGCACAGCTCTGCGTAGCTGCTTTGCCTGTACCATTTCATTCTTTAATTCTCATAACAACTTTATGAAAAGGCTTGCAGTGTGGTCCCTATCTTACAGATGAGGAAACTGACGTTCAAGTGATTAATATCCATGAAGTCAGTTACCTAATAAACATTACAAGCAGGATGAAAAATGCAACCAAGATTCTAAACACTGTTGCCCTCTTTAATCTATACTCATCTCATCAGTTTGGGTCATTCTAAGATTTAAAACTGCATAGGCAGTGGATGATGAATATATTTTTTTAAAGTTGCAGAGGAAAAATATCAAAAGAGGAAGAATTAAAGTACTGTTCAGCATTTGTTACAACTGAGAGATTATATGAGAATTCTTTTTCTTTTGGTTCTAAATAGACACTAATGGGCATATATCACTTTTATAGCCTAACATTATAAATCCGAGTGTCCCTAATGTTTTGGTTATGTTTCCATTTATAGCCAGTCAAATAGTCTAATTTCTCTGCCTCACCAATCACTATATTCTAGTATCACCTTAATTAGTGGCTTCTGAGTTTTCTGGAAGGCAAGAAGGTTCTACAATTGCCGTGACCCAAGCAGCCAGTGGGG